TATTTAATAAAGCAAAAATGAGTCCAAAAGAGAATTATTTAGATGTTTTGCAGTGGCGAACCGAATGCGTTGATTAAATACAAATAGAATTATAATTATAAAATTGCCTGTAAAACTGGTTTAAATGGAATCTGTGTACTACATTCGAATGGATTTTTAGGAAAATTTGAAAACAATTCAATAAAACATATGTTGCAAATACTGACGAGTTTATCTGTTAAGTTCGATAGTGTTAGCCGAAACTGCTGTTAAGCTTGTAGTGAAGCACAAGAAACTATTAAACACTAAAGTTTAGCGACATCTGTTTGTCTGTTAAGAGCAAATTTTGAGATTTTCAAACAAAAATTCTCTGTATTTGTTAACGTATTCTTAATAAAAGTTGACTAAATAGCATCAGATGTCACAGGTTGTCATCAAAAAGAAAACTAAAGTTTTAACATGGGTTATGGCGTAATTTGCGATCTGTACAGTGACAATAGTAGTAGGTGATACCTACCGGTATCTATGAGGTGTTTCTGCTGTATGATGTTCTTTGTTTCCTCGTTTGTTTTTCAAATGCTTTATTTCATTCCTTAACCGTGAAGAATGTTTTGAGTTTCAAACAATGAATAATAAAAGATAAAAAAACGAGGAAATAAAGTAGATATACAACTATTTTTTGATTTAAACAAAACAATAAAAAATATGTTAAAAGTGGGAAACATAAATACCACTTTCGTAGGAGTTCTGTTATAATGATTAGACATCACTGACGATATCAATTTAAGTACAGTTTAAGCAGCATTAAAGGAAAAATTATCTTAATTAAATTCAGTCATTTATGTTAACTTTGGTTTTTCTCACCTCCTCAACAAACAGATCTCTTCTTCTGAAAGTCAGAAAATGAGAAACAAGTGAAGACAATTTTTTGGAGCACACTAAAAAAGTGTTTACTGGAAAAGCCATTCAAACTCAGAGGAAAACTCTGAAACCTCGAAGAACGGTATCGATATCAGTAACGGTAATCTCTACAAAAAACGTGACTCTGATTTGTGGTAAGGTAGATCATCACTATGATAATAGTTTATTGATAGCAAACATGAATATTTACAGCACAATAAAAATACTTTCATACATCATTTACCTGTAGCCCTTTCAAAAATTACGCTGTCTTTGCATTCGACATATTTATCCTTATAAGCTCAATTTTTCAGTTTTTGCCTTTGGCTAATGATCTACCTAAAATATTATAAATCAAAATGTTTTTTTACGTCGAAAAAAAAGTAGCTCAGAAACCTTGATAAAAAACTGAATGATTCTGCAATTTAAATTAAAATTATTTTGCATTTAAACTATAGGATAATAATCAGGTGCTCTACAGCTGTAAATAAGACATCAATAGCCAAGGCTTTATTTCAACAAAATTAGTGCAATTTTTCAGTGTAAAAAAGTTAACAAATTCTGAGCAAATTTGACGTTCAAAAATATTCTTGAAATAGGTTGTTCAAAATTGTTCCCCTCAATTAACTTCACTTTAGCTATACGTTCCGAGTTCAGCTGCCTGTTGGCAAAGAATATAAGTATTGCGCACAAAAATTAAATATTTTCTCACAATTTTTTTCAGCTATTAAATTCATTTTCATACATTTTAGGAAAAATTACTTCTACGCGCGTTGCTAAAAAGAATTTATTTCCGTCGTTTTTTTTCTTAGAATTGATCGAATGTACGAGAATTTAATCAAAGATAAGAAAAAAACGTCTCAATTCCATTAAATAACTGCAAAAAATTACTGCAGACGTAGCATAAAATAAAAAAAAATTAATTAAAAATAATCAGTGTTGTTGATAAGGAACAATTCTTGAAGTTTTAGATTAAACAAATGCACCAGTATCAAAATAAAAGCAAAGCAAAAACATTTTTAAACAGACAGGATATTCACTTGAACACAGCAGAAATTTTTCTCGTACAGTCAATATTTGTTGCAGTACAATCAGTGTTGAAATTTTTTAAATTTTAAGCATTAAGAGTTTTTAAAATTCTTAAAGATATCTATTTTTCTATTTGTTGGTTTTTAATGTAAGCGAACGCACACGCAGTATGAAACTGTTGTACTCAAGTTAAATTTTTTTCTCAAAATTCTATGATACTTTGGTCGACGTCATATATATGCAATTTCTTGAGCGATTTTGATTTTGAGGACAATTCTGACAAAAAATAAATAACTGCACTTAAATTGTTTGCAGTGCTGCAACTGTAACTGCTGCAATCGTTCTAAAAATCAGGAAAAAAGCCAACTGCAAATTTCACATAATCTTTAATTACGTTTATTTTAGAATTAAAATTTCTTAGTATACTTACTATAGAAAGACTTTGCTGTTTGAGATAAGTTGTTTTAACCACCACTTTAAAATTTAATAAACAATGAAGCTAAGACAGTTTTAAATAGACCAACTGGTTGAATGTGAGTTTACTACAACAGTTTCATTCATTTACAGTTTCAAATTCTCAATGGTAAGGTTAGAAACACAAATCTTCAACAGAACAAACTGAAATTATAACGTTTTTAGCTATCCCCAACACATATGCTTGACTGTTTCAACTGAGGGTTAAATTTTAATAAAATAAAGATTCTGATATCACCTTACAAAAAATAAACCTAAAAACAGCTCATGTTGGTTCAGAATGTCAAACCACTTTTTTATTTTTCTTATAAATCAGTTTGGAACTTGGAAACAGATCCATACATGATAACTTTCAGCAGTTTATCCGACTGCAATTAGAAGTACTCGAATTTAGTTTTTCGCATATCTTCTACTATTGTCGGCTTCTTAAGCTATTTGAATTGTTACTTATTTACCACCTGAAAAGCTATTTTCTTTACCACTGTCGTTACAGAGTACGGAAAACAATACTTAAACTTTGAAAATCATAAATAATTTGTGATTTCCCGTAAGCCTTGACAAACAGTTAAATAAGAACAGTGCAGCTATAGAACGGTCTTTCAGTCGGTGCTAAACAACAAAGAATAGGTTGTACAAATTAAGTAAATTACCATAAAGCTGATGTGTTATTCGATGCTAATTAGCAAAGAAAACAATGCAATAAAACAGTCAAATTTTTTAAATATTATTCTTATTTTACCAAAAATTAAATTTTACAAGACGCATATTGTAACTGTGGTTTTTTTTACTACTAAGGCTGTATTTACTATTGGATTTGGTTGCTGCACGAAAATAATGTCTGTATGACTGGACAACAAATCAGATTGGTCACTGAGCTGTGAACCATATGTTAATCACAAAAAATCTGTGCACAGTCGAATGCGAACGATGGTCAGCAGCCTTTCTCTGAACTGTCGCAAGTTGAGGCAAAAAATTTTTTTCTACTTATTTTGGTTGCTATCCATCAAAGTTTTCTACGCTTTATCAGACTGTCATGATTACCATCAGAAGTATTCTGAAAATGCTATATGGATTAAAAATTTCAATTTTAATGTGACCTGTAGAAATGGAAAAGTTACTGTAAGTTACTGCTATTTTTTTTGACTAACCACAGTGATATGTTTTTTATACTTCTTAGCTTATAGTTTTTCACGCTGAGCCAAAACCATATTGAGCGCTACATTCTCTTAGGGCATAAAGTAGTTTAACTCTGTACCAGTTTAAGTTTAGTGTGACAATCTGACCTAAAACTAAGCCCAGAAGCCATTCTGGCCTAGTTCTCTAAAGTTAGATTTGATAAATATACATTATTTACAGTTACTTGAATAAGTTTCTTCAGCTGAACTTTTATTAGTATTTATCTATCATTTTGGCTCTCCAACAAATTAGTTTTCGGGTGAAACTTCAGGTATTAAACTGTGTAACAGATCTCGGCACAGTGGTACCATTGGGAACAAACAGCTTTGTCGAAGATGGTACTGAATATTCCTGTATGAACAACCAAGACGATAATGACGATTTTGGTTCAGGTGTTGAGGATAGAACAGATGAATGTAATAATGGAGAATACGTACTGAATAACTTTGTCTTTTCATGTCCTAAGAAACGGTAAAGTCAATCCTTGCTGTTAAAATCAGGAACTTTTTGAAAATACACCAACTACAATTTTATACTTTAAAGCTATAGGAAACAGATTCCTAGATTAGTATTATTTACAATAGGTCGAACCATTTTACTGTACTGAGAAAAAATGATCCAGGATTATTGGATGCGTTGATAAAAATGGCAATGTCGTTTACAAAGGATACTTTGTTCTTAGCAATGACCAGCTGAATTATTGTCGTATTGTCAACAGAGGAATGAACGCTGAAATCTTATATAAAGGTAGGGTAATACGCTTCCAACTGCTCATTTATATATGGTAATTATTAACAACAACTTGATTATATAGATTTTAGGTTGCTATGTTGGTGGTGCTCATGACAACATCAATAATCAGTCATTTCACAAGCCCAAAGATGCTGAGTGGATTATAGGAAACGCAGATGTTCGCTGCACTGCACATGGAATACAAACGCTAAGGTTTTTTTCCTTTGTTTTATTATTTCATCGGTTTTGAGAAATTCAGTGCCCCTTAAGAGTTTCGACATTTTGACAAATAATGATGCCAAAAAGTTTCGAGAAATTTAGCAATTATATTAGGATATCTGAAATGACGCATACAAATCCCATGCACTTTATAACTGCACTATAACCGCATAACTGCATACATCACAAGTAATTGCTACTGAAAATCAGCGAAAAAAACATTGCAAAAAGTCTTTGCTTCATTCATTATTGAATTAGTCTTTTGAAAGAAATGAAAACAATTTATGATTGGCAATTTATACAGCAAAAGTAACCACTAAAATGACGTTGAAAACAAAACCACGTCGAAGAGAATATTGAAAAAACAATTTCAGATGTCGATATGACAACAGCGTAGTTAAACCGGCAGGTACTGCGTGGATTGATCAAACAGGAACTGTTCACCATTGTCCCTAAGACTGAAACTTTTCACCCGTCAAATAAAAATTCTCTTACGCATTTCCTGTATTTGACAAACAAAAAAACTGCTTTATCTACTACGTTTTGTAGCTTAATCACAAAATTTTGGCATTAAAAAAATATCCATTTAAAATGCTGCTTAGTATCAATTTTTACTATTTAAATTTTATTCTCCGTTATACTTCTATCTCTCTGTTGCAGAAATGTTAAAAATAGATGTAGTGTACTAAAATAAATTTTCTGTAGCTATTTTTGTTTCCCACTGCAAAATGTGCACCCCCCATCCTTTTGTATTTTCATTGTTTCAAACTCAGCACTAATAAATGCAAACCTTTTAAACTTCATATTTTTTTACTTTCTGACTTTAACTGACTTGCCGTCCAATAATTTTTTAGTCCACTGATGATCTAAGCACCAAAACGACCGACTTTATAAATTCTTATCTCTAAACCTTATCCAGTCTCGAAGGCCAGAAAAAGCGATAAAAAGTTCAGATTACCAAACATTTTACTAAAGAGGTTTAGTGGCCGTTATAACAATTCCGTGACGGCCTTTGGAACTCTTTTGAAATGGTCACTGGATTTATCAATTGGCTGTTAATTACTATATACTTTATCCCAACTTTTCAGTTTAGTTAATTTTTTAAATATGTCGTCTGACCATGATTTTGGAGGTTAATAAGAAGGCACAGTTTGCGAAATTTTTTACACCGCTAATGCGGAGACAACGATGAAAGACTACTTTGAGGGCAGTATTTCACGTACATATTGAGAAATTACTTCTTTTTAAGTCTAGAAAATGACGTCACGTGAGGGAATTCTCAAAAGAGCACATGTACAGCAATTGGAAAAGATAACCTTTATGGTATGCGAAGGGGCTTCTTTTAATGATATAACACCCCTGTTTTCAACTCCCTTTGGAAATCTGCGCCCCACACTGTGTTTTAAAAAAAGAAGAGAAAACAACAAGCATTTAAACCGACGAGAGAAAACAAAAATAGAATAAAATAACTAGGTAATATTGTGGATCAAGATACATCACATCAACCCTTGCTTCATGCGCCACATTTATGGCTGCTATCGTTAATCAGTGTT